TAAGCAATATCGTATCGCATATCGAATATCGCATTTTTTAACAAGGTATCGCATATTGCATTTTTCTTCAATATCGCACAGTCCTACAGCTTAGCATAGATCATTGAATCTGATTAGACCGTTAGCATCTCGCTCAAAAATGACCAAAGAGTTTCTATATTTTTCCTATTTAAGACTTGACTCTTCTGTAGTTACATCGAGGAATCAAGGAACTTTGCTGCAGTACCATGGGTGCAGCAGGCGCAATGATATTACGCAGCGCCTGAAAATAGTCCCCAGCTAGGTAACTTCCAACGGAAGGCATGCTCCCTGTGCAAGCAGGTGGTCACGTTGGTTATGTTGATGAAAGTAATAATCAAGGAACATGGTACGGCAGCAAAGTTCCTTGATTATAGAAAATCGCAACTTTTCATTTTCCGTCGGTCTTAGTACACGATGTAATTTTTGTACATTTTTGAGCGAGATGCTAACGGTCTAATCAATGATTCAATGATCTATGCTAAGCTGCAGCTAAAAGTGCTATCGCCAGACCCGGAGATCGGCTGAATGGATTCTAAAATGGTAAAACTCAACTGTTTAACTCTAGAGGAGTTGGAAAATGAGCCTATTTTCAAAAATAGTGGAGTGTTCCTTTAAGCTGTAGTTAAATTCTATATGTGAATTAAACTTGTTAATGCTTGGTGACTTTTGGTGATGTCACTTTCACGTTATAGTTATCTTTGAACGTATTTGGGGAATGAGTCTACATTATACAGCAGAAGACAGAAACATCATAACATGCATCTTTGCAGTGGTGCTTCTGATGTGTTCCTGCATCTTAATTAAAGGTAATAATTTTTTTGAACATGTAACATTCATTTAGGTGCTACAAACAAAAAGGTTTTTCAGTTATTTGGTTTGTACATATCAACCCTAAAACAGATTTGTCTATGTGGATCATTAAAGAATCAGGAGAGGAACAGGGATAAAAAAAAGAAAAAAAAAGCATACACTGTAAAAAATCCAATTAACAAAATGTTGGAAGGGCAAAAATATTTAAAGGGGTCATATGATGCGATTTCAAGTTTTCCTTTCTCTTTGGAGTGTTACAAGCTGATTGTGCATAGATAAGATAGATGAAGTTGCAAAGACTAAAGTCTCAAAACCAAAGAGATATTCTTTATCAAAGTTAAGACTCTGCCACGCCCCCCTAAAACGGCTCATTCTAACACGCCCCCACATATCTACCCCACTATGTGGAAATATTTGCATAATCCCGCAAAATGTGCACGCAAAGAAAGAAGGCATGGTTTCAGTAACCGCAGTTAGTGTTGAAACAGCATGTCAGGGAGACGCTGTGTGTTTCAGTGCGAAAGCAAAAGCACTTTATTTGGATCACTTACAACAGAACAGCAATGCATTTTATGGACGACCGTTTCGTGAACCTAGGAGAGGAGGTAATTCTGACTTTGCTATGACAATCTGGCACTTCTGAATCAGCTACTGTTTTGTTATTAGTTTAAGTATTTGCTATTGACTGTTCAAATGCGGAGTTTTGCGCATAGTGTGTGTGTGTGCGCGCGCGCGCGCGCGTGTGTGTGTGTGAGAGAGAGAGAGAGAGAGAATGTATTGTCCATACATTCATGTAATTCATGTAATAATGCTTTGGTTACACAGTCATGCTAATAAAGCTTAATTGAATTGAGAGAGCGAGCGAGCATATAAAAAACTTACTTACAGTCTTTGAGTCAGAACAGCCTCTTAACTGACTCTTAACTTTTATAAAGAATATCTCTTTGGATTTGAGACTTTAGTCTTTGCAACTTTACAGATCTTCTTTATGCACCAAGAGCTTGTAACACTCCAAAGAGAAAGGAAAAATTGAAATCGCATCATATGACCCCTTTAAGTCTACAGATCATTCTGCACGTGCACGAGTCTAAGTGACTGGTTAAATTTTAATTGACACAATTTGCTGTAGTTTTCAAAATGTTTGACCAATTAAATAATTTGAGTTGAATGCACTATAAAACTATTTCAGTAAAGGTTGAGCCAACTAAAAAATAACAATTCAGGCAACACTTTGGAGACAGAAATTGACTGAACGTAAAATTTCTGTGTAACTTGTTACTAAATAATAATTAGTTGAAACGGCTTGAAATTTTTTACAGTGTAGACAAAATAGATCAGCAATAGATAGACAAAACAGTGAACGATCTTTCTGCCCAAATGCATGATTGTTTTCTTTTTTACACATTTATCAGCCTCAACTGAATGTGCCCCCAAATAGTTTCTATTTGTAGAATATTACTAAATAAATAAATTACTCTTTTCATGTATTTCAATGATTAAAATGTTAATGCCATAAATGCCATAAATATAATAAATAATAAATAAATTATAAATTTGGTGTTGATTTAATTTATATTTTTATAGGATTTATAGGATT